GATGATACTGCATTTATGTATGCCAGCACTGCTCATCAGTATGTACTGCCAGCCACTATTCACCCAAAGACTGGGCAATGACAACTTGAAACACAACAAATCCCTTCTTCTGTGATTGTGCTGTGGTACAAGGTGATTTTAGAGTGGTAGAGACCATGGTTGGTTACAGGACCTTGGATTTAACACATACAGAAACAAAGGAAGCTATTCGCATGCTTGTTCCATTGTTTTAGAACAGAATTATTTTTGCCTTGCCTGTTTTATATTGGCTACATGTACAGGATCAGCATATTGAAGCTTTGGTTTAATTCACTTGTGCTCAAGAGGAGCGTAAAAGCTTGTATATTGAGAGGCTCAATTTGAAGTGCACTCCAATCTGAAAATACTTTATTTTTATGCATAAGTGTAACACTGATATACATTCAGCAAAAATATTCCCATTTCAGTTGCATCTAAAGAGAATAAAACATTGGAACCAGTCACAGACGTGACAACTGCTTTTCCCTAATTTCTGACCTAACACAAGCATTGGCTATTGAGAATTAAAGCTGTAGATAGTGGTATTTTCACTGAAAATAACTTCTGGGTGAGGTAATGCATTATCTGATGATTTATTTATTCTGAGAAACAATAGATTATTATATTGAGAGGCAAAAAGAAAACTAAAGCTACTGATTTTCATCTGAAATGTCCACCTTTGCATTTTGATGCAGAGGAAACTAATTATGGACCTGTGTTCAAAACAGGAGCGCTTAAGCCCATGTAAACACACGATGTTCAGATAAGGTTTTTAAATAGGGTTCTAGGAGCTGATGAAAGAATGCAGGTGTGTACCTAAGGCTGAAGAGGTTCAGCTAGAAAGAGTGAATGCTGCAGAGTTCCAAATAAGAAATGTAAATCTGTGTTTCAAGAATAATGTCTCCCAGTTACGTTAGCTCAGCAAGGTGTACAGGTTGGAACCTGTGTGTTTTGGAGATAGCTGCCTCTGTAAATAAGAAAAAGCCATGAAGTTTTCTTAAGATATTGAGAGAAATCAGGAGATACATATTTAATCAAGTGGGGTTTATGTCATTGCTGTGATTTGTTTTTTAAGAGCTTATATAAATATTATCCTTACTTCTGAAATAGCCTTATCATGCGACACTACAGCTGACATACTGTGTGCGTCAAATCCATTTTTGTTGCACACAGAGTATATACTTTAGTCAGTAATTTGCAACAATGGAGGTAGGATTTTAAGCTACTTTCGGCAAAATATATTCTTGGGCATCTTGCTGCTGGCCCATTTGTCTTATTACAAAAGGTCTGTTAAAACAAAATCATAATAATGAAATATGGGCTAGAAGGACTGTATTTAAATCAGCCTATATTTAGCACTGTTAAGTTTCAGAATGGCATCAGAAGCAAGGGCAGTTACCTGCTGACAGTTTGTTCGACAGAGAAAAAGTAGTCTGTGTTGCTAGGAACTGATGTGTGAATCACTGGGGGCTTATGGATGAATACAGGAAGGGTGAGAGAAAACAAACAGCTCAGTATGATTTGGGGTCTTAAGGGCAGCCACCAGAATATGGGCATGACAGGGAAATCAGTGGCTAACACAGGTGGTGTCACAAAAAGTTGCTTTTTAGTCATGTGCAGTGTCATCTTTGAGTTACTAGGATGAAACCAGCAACAATCCTACACAATCCTACAAGAAAGAGGGATAGGGAAGGGAATTGGCTTTTTGAGATGAGTCTATGCAGGCAGCCACAGGCAGTGCAGGCTGAACCCAGGGGCTCCGTGTCACCCTAGTCACTGTGATGCTGATGGCCCATGAGCTATACTATGGCCATGGAGAGGCTCCGAGATCCTTGTGAATTAATTTGATGCCATTTATACCTAGCTTGTATTTGAAAATCTCTTTATATTAATGTAGGTGGATTTGTGTTGGTGTTATCAACCTAGGAGAAATAGGGGAAACCTGGAGGAGAAATGAGCTAGGGGCAGCAGAAGGTACTGGTGATGCTGTAAAGGGACTTACGGATGCTGATCAGCTGGGATTTGCTCTTTGAACATAGGCTGCAGACAGGCTAATGCCCTGTATCACAAGCTGGAATGTGTGTCTGCTTCACTTATCTGGACAGTAACCTGCAGTTTCTGGCTGCTTTGTTGAGTGATGTGTTAACAAATCCCTGCATGCTGGCAGATTGGCTTTTAGCAGTCATGGATAAATTACTCTTGTAAGCGCATGCAGTGGTTTATGTTACGAATAAGGTGTTCAACAATGAGAGGATCCTCCCTACTACTTTCCTGCACTTGACTTATACTGAACTTTTGTGAAATAGGTGGGCTGGAAGCAGAACCAGGTGTTGTTATAGTGACTGCTTTGGTGCTTCCTCTAATCTGTCACATCTGGCTCAAAACCACAGCACACACAGTGAAAATGTGCTATTGCTCTGTAAAGGAGTTATACTGTGTTCCCTCTGATTTGGCATTCTCACAAAGTAGTATCATTGCTGGAAGACTTCTCCTAGTTTTGGTTCAATTATCATATCTTTGGCTTTTAGCCTGAAGACTTTCATCATAGTTTTAGTAAATATAATCTTAGGAGTTTAGAACATATGAACTAACATGGGGAATAAAAGGTAATTCATCTTGCAGTCATGAATGAGCTAAATGTCCCCTCACAGCCAGTTTGATCTCTCTTTCTGGCTAATATACAAGGTTTCATTGCTCCCCAAACACAAGGCAAGACAGATGGCAAGTGGAAACAAATACCATCATGTAGTATCCCAACACTGTGACCACGGCAGTGTCTTGCACAGCCACATCCCTGGATGTTTGGCTTTGAACAGAGGGGCATCTACATACCAGTGTGCATTCTGTATTCTGGCTCTACAGGGAAAGGACAGATCTGCTTCGTTTTTACTGCAGTAATTGGTGATTTTATTTTCCATAACAGAAACCATCTCAAAGAATTAATTTTCTTTGTATCCCCCGAGATTTGTTTTGTGTATTTTCCACATGAGATCATGCTGTATTTCAGTAATTGTAATCTATGTTATATGTTACAATCACTATGTTTTTTAGAAACACATGAGTGTAGCCCACAGTATATTATCAATATATTATCAGTTGTGGAATAAAAGCTTGAAAAGGAAATACGTGTTATTGCACTGTTACCAATTTGAAATCAAACACTTGGATAGTCTTTAAATTTCAAACCAACAATATGTTAACATATTTTCCTCATACTCATGATTACTTGGCAATGTTTAAGGTCTGGATTCTATAATGTATTTCAGTATTAGTTGGCATGTGCCATAAATTACAAAGAAATTAGAACTTGGCTTCAATGGGGAATATATTAACAGATTATTTATATCGTAAAGGTTTACATCTACCAATGAGTGAGGTGTTTCAGAGCAAAAAAGCCTTGTGTTGTTTAAAGAAGGTAAATAAACACATTGTTCACAGGTTAAACAAAGAATGAAATTAGGACTAACTGTATTCTGGTGTGTTTTCTCATGAATGCAATATGAAATCCTTGTGTGTCTTATTGCACTGAAAAAGTAGCCTATGAAAGAACATCTTATGAATGAGCTTTTTGTAGAAAAGCTTTGTTTGACAGTTGTCTGAAATATTCTCTTTCTCTCTTCTTTGTTCTCCCATATTTTTTGCTTGTAATAGAAATGTAGGGGAATAAGAAGAGTCAGGAAAGCAGGTGCTTTTCAAGGACATTTTGGTTATTCATGAAACTCAGAATTATTTGTTTCCAAACCCAGTATGGAATGTTACAGATTTATACAGATGAGCATTGTTTAAAGACATTATCAGGGCTGAGGTATATAGGCACTGCTCATTTGCATCCCAATATGTTGTATGTATTTTGAATAACACTTTGTTGTTGTTGGAAGTGTAGGACATTTAAAACCATTTTATAGGCTTTTAAAGATAGAGTGAATTCACCTTACAGCTGCGTCTGACAGTCTGCACCCCATACAATGCTTGCCCTGAATTTGAGGATTTATATTTCCTTAAACAGCTTGGATAACAGCCACTGCTGATGTGTACTGTGCAAAAGAAAGAAGTTGGACACATTCTTTTGATGTCTCCCTACTCTGTTATAATTCTTGACAGTATAACTGTTTATCAGCAAATGAATTCCTAAAGGAGAAGCAGCATATTGGATTTCTCTGCATTTTATCTTTTATGGAATACAGCAGAATCATCAGTATACACATCAGTGCAGAGCAGGGAGGGACTTAGTGAACTGAGAGCTAGCTTGCTTCAAAAGCCCATGTTCTTATAACTAAAAGGTTAAAAAGTTCTTTAGAAGTCATACTACTTACTTTTCTCGAATAAACTGATATGCTGATGTATTCTGTTGCATGTGTAAGGCCCAGAAATAGTTCTCAGTGGCCACTTTCACAGAAAATTACTAAAGCGTACAGAATTCTATATTGTATTGCTTAAACTGAGAATTTTAGACATTTTTTTTTTTTTGCTGCAGGGGATGAGGGGCTGTATTGTAGCCACTCACCCTTACAGGACGTCTTGATTTTTTTTCCTGTCTTCTAAAAGATGGTTATGAAGAAGTAGGCAAAGGGAGGTGGCAGAAAAATACATTGCAAGTTCTTAATCATCATTTTATCCAAACTCAACAAGTATCTTGCCAAAATCTGCAAAAGTTTTCTTGTTTTGCTCTTTTGACCATTAAATGAAAAATCATCACAGATTTCTTCAGAAAACCTCCCTGTGCCTTGTTCCTCTAGTATTAAGTAAGACAAAAAAGACACCCTACCACGTTTACACGTGACCTACAAATAAGAATAACCTGACCTAACTTTTTAAGGTACCAAAATGTCATGGCATCACAATGGCACTCAAGTCTCATTGTGTACCCCAGCTGCTAGAGACAGGTATTTGAATGTGACTTTGTGACATTTGCTTATTTGCTTCCTCAGTCTGGCTTTTGGTTTATATTAGTTTATACAGTGCTAATTCATGGCTTTTCTTAGTCTTTTTAGTGAATATCCTGCAGAATCCTGGCACTGCCAGCAATGTTTCTGCATGCCACAAAGAGAGGAGCCCCAGTACTCCAAGCAACCGGTGACATTATTTGCTGCAGAAGGTCCCATGATGTTAAGTGCAAGCAAAGGATTGCTCTTTGCGTACTGTGTTTTCTGTAATAGTTGGGTTTAGTGTACTGTGTGTGTGGCCAAATTGCTGCCTGAGGTGTCAGAAAATCAAATGTCTCTCTAGTGCTTATCTGCAGTGCACAGCTAGAAAGCCCTAACTCATGTGTTTTCAACCTCTGTTTTGTTGATTCCAAGGATGATAGCATCCTTAAAACAAACTAAAATGAGAGTCCAGTGTTTGCATGTCATCATTGCTCTCAGTCAGTAAATGACTCAGTTCAAGTACATTCTGAGACCTGAAAGTAGTGTTTTCAGATATCTCCCTAAGTAAATATTGCATGGGAAATAGAGGTGAGCATGCTAAAAGCTTTGCAGTCCTGTGCCAATTTGATTTGTCCTTCGGAGAGCTAACCCTTTTGTTTTGTGTGATGGACTTTTGCAATGACTGCTGACAAGAAATTGTCGGATACAGCTCTGGTGAGATTGAATGAGACACTGGATGTCATCGGCTGAAATATGACTGAGGCACAAAACATTTTCAAGACACTTGAAAATGATGACAGTTCACACATTTTTCTGGGAAGGAAGGCTACCAGGAATTTAGGATAGAGAAGGTTTGGAGCTTGAAAATTCATTTGCATATCTTGTACTGTTAAGCCTCTGAAAAAAGAAAAGCCATAGTATGCACGCGCTGGGCTAGCTGCGGTACTGTGCATATTCATAAGCTGAAGAGATAGCAATCAAAGTTCAAATGTTCCACAGAAATACCATTTCAAAACGCTGCCAAGGCAAATGGAAGGACAAGAGAAATTTGTGACATTTATGATACTGGCAAATTTAAAGTAGCTGGAAGGTTTAGAACTAAATTCTGATGCAGAATAAATCATTACTTTCACTGGTGCTCAGACACTTTAAACCAGCAAAAATCTGACCATTGGACTGGAGGTTATTTTGCTTTCTTAATTTCTGATTATAACCAAAACCAATGTTACTGAGAGCTCGAATTTCATGTCCAAACATTACAAAACCTAAAGAAACCCTGAATCTGTAGGAGGCAAGGGTAGGCTAAATGGAACCAAGAGAACAAAAGAACAAATTGGAAGAATGGAGTTAGCGCTGAGTCAAAACAAGACAGTAAAGAAGAAAGCTGCTGGGGAGAAAAACCCATTACTTTTTTTTTCTCTCTGTCAGGAAGATAAATCTTTCTCTTTGGGGTAGCATTTCAGCCCTGTGCCGCCCCCTCTATTCTCATTAGAGGCACAAAGCCTCCACTCAACACCAGAGGTTCAGTACATCTCTCCTCCCTATCCTCATGGGCAGTTGGCTCCAGGTAAGTGCCAGAAGTGCACTTGGTTATAAATAGCCAAGTTGGAAAGGATCAGCATGGATTCCAAGTTCAGGTGTTGTCCTAAGCCTCAGCCCTGTCTAGGGAGTGCTCTGAAATGCAGGCTGCCTACAGGGTTTGCATTACATGTCTGCAGACAGTGCTTGAGCTCCCTGTGGTTCCTTCTCATGTTCTTCACTGATTTGTATCATCCTGCCATTTGCATATATTTAACTCATTTTCTATTTTTCACATGTATTTTATAAGAGAAAATACTTTCAGTTTTCCAGAATAGAAACAGTTGCTCTGGCAATAAGAGTAAAAAGCCATCATCAAGGCTCCTTTTGCTAAGGCAGGCTGATTTTTATTCCCTGCAAAACCGCAAATGTGGATTTGAGACATTTGTTGGATAGCTTTTCTAACGCTCACTGCAGCTGCACAATATATTTGCAGTGCCTCTTGCACATACTGATACATACCTACGTCTGTGATGTGCATGAATAAATGTATCTGTGGTCCGTGCAATTAAAAATGAATGGCCATGTAAAAAACATAGTGGGGTTGTTTCCTTATGAAGACGAATCCATAAAAATAGATTATTGCATAGTAAATGATCAGTTTATAGATGTAGCTTTTTCTTGCTTTAAAATGCCAGTTAGCTGAAGCACATTCCCACCTCTGCCACCTGCTTGAATCATTGTTATGAGCTTTCTTCCTAATACTGAACAAACATTGAAATATAAATATACTCTTTCTTCTTTGAAGTTCTGGCACTTATAGGCAGTGGTTATGTGTCTGTGTGGGTGTCTGTAGGTGGACATTGCTGCTGTGCAGCTGCTGAATTCTCTCATTAAAATAGTAAGAGGGGAGTCCTAGCTTCACTGAAGGAAAGACAGAATTGCCATTACCTGTAAGTTCATCCCACTGTCAGCAGGATGAGCAGTTGAGGCAGCTTTGACTCATTTTGCTTTTCTTTCTTTTTAAAATTAATCCCTATTGTCTGCCATAATAATGCATTGGTAATGCTTTGATAGGGAGTTAATATCACTGTTTTTTTCCAGGGAATGAGATGTAACTGCAGTTGGCTGTGGCTGGTTAGGCAAGCTGATAACTTTGTCCTAGCATATGAGATTTTTGTCCAAGGGCTGAAACAACCATGAAAGCTGGTTGAAATCTGAAAGGAATTACTCCTTTAGAAATAGATTCATAAGGTATTGGGTATACTGGGACCCTTTAAGCTTTTTGGAAGCTTTACAGGATGCCAGGAGAATCTGATTACGATTTTAATATAAATTCTTTCAAAAGGACAAAACAGATTGGTATGTTAAGTCCGTGTAATTTATTCTTTGCTCACAAGGGGTTTCTCGTTGACTAAGCTCTCCAAAGAGGTTTTAGAACAAAGGAGTAGTTGGTGAAAAATTGTATATTCCCAGAATTGGTCTCTTTCACTGATCCTTATTTAGAAGGAATTCTGGACCCCCAGAGTGCAGTAGGTGCATGTGGTAAGAAGCATCTTAAGCCTCTGTTATGGGAGCCAGTTCAGCTCTTCTCACAATATGTGCTGGATTTGATATGTATATGCTTATGTATATAAGTAGTCAGTGAATATCTTAGGAGAAAAAGATGAGTTTCATATCTATGCTATTCTCTCTTATTTTTTCAATGGCTTGCTAACACCACTGTTTATTTTGTCAGATTTAATGGGTCAAAGCACGGGACTGCTAATGGAAGACAGCACAATAGGTTTCAGTTCTACTGTTCGGTACTCCTCAGTTGCCAATGTCATTCCCAGAGGAAAATCTTCTGAGCTGTGTGAAATAGCAAATCATTTAATTGTGTCAGAGCATATAAGCAGCTGCACCCGTTAGAAAACCTCACACACACTTGATAGAGATAGCTCTTTAAGAATGTCAGTATTCTTTTAAGCAAAATACAAGCAGAAAAGCTGCTAGGCTTTGCGTAGTTCATTCATGCAGAACGTTATCAGAGTAAATCTACTCTTTAAAAGTAAAATGGAAATTTCAAGAATCGAAAACTTTTCAATTTACTCATTTTTATTTCTGTATGGTGGCTATCCTATATGTCTGTACATTCCTCAGGGGCTTCCATATTTGCATGAGTGTGTGAAGCATCACAGACTTGGTACCCCAGCACTGGCAGGCTGCCTGCCTCACTACCAAACATCTGTGGGACTGGAGCTTTCTTTGTAGGTATGCGGATGCTTGCAAGCTGTGTTCAGTGGGCTCATGCTAGCAAATACTAACATGGTTACACTAAGAACTGCCTTTAGCTTATTTTTTCTTTTTCCTTTTCTACTGGCTCTGCATGGGGAAGGCAGTGTCCACATCAGTATCATATACAGAGATGGGGTAACTATTAGCATCATCACAAACATCAAGAATGTGATGAGCAAAGGTGTGTGGGTGTAGGATCAGGTTTTGAGTTGTTTGTTTGGACCTGGAACTTCCATATTGCTGGAGCAATGCATTGATGTTTGTGCCTTTAAAATGTCATGTTATTGAGCTGCTGTGGCATGGTTATAAATGTTATAAAACAGGAAATTCAGCATTGCAAGTGAGACTAAAATACCAGAGCAACACGCCTATCACTGGGAAGATAAATTATGTCAGAAATTCCAACAAGTCTGCCTCCTTCCTGTGAACAGAAATCTATCCAGTGATCAGCACAGGTTTCCAATAATATAAAATGAAGATCTTTCATGTTTAAATGCTTTTTGTCCCTGTATCAACTTATTATTTTCATTCAGCTTTCATTCAGGAGTTGTCAGCGAATGGAAGATTCTACATTACTTAAGTGCGTGAGCATGTTTTCAAGTGTTTAATGATTGAGGATTTTTATTGCACCTTTTTAGTAGATGCTGAATTTGCTGTAGGCATGATTCCATAACATTAGTGAATTCCTGTTAGAAGACAGTGTGTATCTTTGGAGGGTGGGTGGATGATGTCCAGATCATGCACAGTTTGTGTGCAAATAAGATTGTTCTTTCTCCCTTTATGTATTATCTGTGATTTTCTCCTCTATACAGTGGCAAGCACAGACTTCAGGAGGACTGTAGCTTTCTCTTTAGATTCCATAGCGGTATAATTTGTCAACATCCCCCTTAGCGTGTATTGGATCTGGGTTGGAAAGGATGCTAAAACACTTCACTGATGGCAGAGAATGATGGTTTGAGCAAGAGTCCTTTGCCATCCTTCCTGCAAATATCTACAGATTAACTCTTAGTTAAGCTGATTAGAACATGTTCATAGAAACAATCATGTTACCACAAGGTTCTGTTTAGGACCAACTGTTTCATTTTTGGAGATGAATTCACTTTAACTGCTGTCATTTTCAGTGTCCTTTGATCCTTGTCTGCTCTAGCAAATCAAAGGTCGGTTTCTGACAATAGGTTCAGACTTTCTTTCCCCACTCCTTCCCCCTAAATTCTTCTCTCTGAAGCATCTAACAAGCCACTTTGGAAGTGATCTTCTCTTGCTATTTACATCAGTGATCTTTTTCTTCGCAGTGTTTGACTTCATGGCTGTGGAAAAGTATTTCCCATTTTGTGAGTACGTGTAGCATTTCAGGTTGCCTGGTATTTAGGTTGCTTCAGTTACAAAACACAAGTCCCTATGCATATACTGAAG